CTTCATTATATTCTGCCCTCCAAAAGGGAGGGGGACAAAATACTTCACAGCGTTCTAACTCCACATACTCTTGGCACCCTCACTCTTCCTCTGGCCAAGAGCATGACAGCTGGGGGCAAAGCTCTTCACACTTTAATTGGTATTCATGCAGAAGGAAACCCACAGAATTCCAGTTGTTCCTGGCCAGATCTCTGATTCCACCTTACCACCACAGTCTGTTTCGGAGAAAATCCGGTTGAATGCCTGCTCATGTCAGTCACCTAGACAATGCCAGTTCCCAGATTGCCCCCCATCACTTTGATGTGTACCCCCATACCACACGTATAAATGTGTGCATTCACATAAATAAACACTTTATTTTTGACCTTGCGTACAGATTAATTATAATCCTTTGTTCATGGCACTGAATTATCACTAGCCCTTGCTATGACTTTGTTAAACTGATTTATCTTTAAATTTTATTAACAAATACACTCACATTCCTGCCCAAGAATTACATACCAATAACACATATCTACGTATGTGGTCCATATCCAATTGCCCCGACTATTGTTAAGAGGTAATCAGTAACCACTATCCTGGATTTTCTGGTTATCATTCCATCAAATTTTACTTCATTTTTAACTAAAGAGTATCACACTGTTTATAGACTTTGGCAATATTTGTTTACCCAATATTTTGACATTAAGGTTTCATGTGTGAAGCTGTGGTTAGCTGTTAGTTCATTCATTTTCACTGTTTCCATGTGTCTTTTCCCTTCTATGAAATACCTTTACAGGGTTCATTTGTAAGAGTTCTTTATATATTATGGACACAAATCCTTGATCAGTTACAATTGTTGCACCTATCTTCCCCTACCGTATCAATTTTAAGATATCTTTTGATGAACAGAAATTCTTACTTTAATGTGGCAAAACTCACCCATCTTTTCTTTCATTGTTGAAACCTTTGAATCTTATCTAAAAAATGCTTACCTTTCCTAAGCCAGAAATCTATTCATGCCAAACCAGAGAGATATTCACCTATTTCCTTCTAAAAACCTTTTAAGTTGTTCCTTTTGCATTTAAGTTTTTAATTAAGTCTTTAATCATCTGACGATGATTTCTGTAAATCGTGTGTAGGGGCTTGATTGCATTTTTTCCCCAAACTAGGAACCAATTTTTCAGTTCCAATTAATAAATGGTCCCTCCTCTCTTCACTGATTTACAATGCCATTACTGTCACACATCGAAGTTCTGTAAAAACAAGGAGCTACTGCTGGGTTCTTCACTGTTTCACTGGCAGATATGTCTAAACCTGCACAAATCCTATGTTGCCCAAATAATACAATGTATCTTGACATTTGTTACGTCAAGTGCCCATGTCCCCAAGCCCCATTCTCTTCTTCAGGATCATCTTGGCTATTCCTGAACCTTTGCATTTCCATATAAATTTTAAAATCAATCCCTTTTCCTCAGCATTATTGGAGTATAACTTGCAAATTTAAATTGTAAGGTGTACAGCGTAATGTTTTGATATAAGTACATATTGTGAAATGATTAGCAAGCTATTGACCTAATTTACATATCCTTCACCTCACATAGTTACCGTTTGTGCGTGTAAAGGAAGAACATTTAAGATCTACTCTTAGCAAATTTCAAGTATACCATATAGTATTATTAACTACAGTCACCATGCTGCACATTAGATCTTCAGAATTTATTCATTCTACATAGCTGAAACTGTGTACCCACTGACCGACATCTCCCCATGTCCTCTGCCCCTCAGCAACCATCCTTCTACCTTCTGCTTCTGTGAGTTCAACTTGTTCAGATTCCACATATAAGTGAGATCATACAGTGTTTGTCTTTCTGTGTCTGGTTTATTTCACTTTGTATAATGATCTCCAAATTCATCCATATTGTTGTGAATGTCAGGATTTCCTTCTTTAAGGTGAAATAATATTCCATTGTGTATTTACACTACATTTCCTTTATCCATTAATCGACTGATAGTCACTTAGGTTGCTTCCAAGTCTTGGCTACTGCAAATAATGCTGCAAAGAACATGGGAGTGCAGAAACCTCTGTGACATACTGCTTTTAATTCTGCGTAAACGCCCAGTAGTGACATTGCTGGATCGTATGGTAATTCTATTTTTAATTTTTTGAGGACCCGCCATAC